CAGCTTCTCTAGCCATTCGTTTGTTGATGGGCACTTAGGTTGTTTCGAACTCCTTGCTATTGTGAACAAAGCTGCAATAAACATGGGTGTGCATAGGTACTTAGTTTTTGAAGAGCTTTCTCCGGGTTAGCTGCGAGCCCAGGTCATTGGCTGCTCTCCTCACTTGTCGATCTACTGTCAGCCTCTTTTTTCACGTACTTGTTTTTCTTAAAAATAAGTCCTGCTTTTCCGGTTGGCTTTCTAAGGCAGGCAGTTCCATGGCTGCCTTCCTGTTAGCTGGGCAGTCAAACATGCTGGCTCTCACCTAACCTGTTCATTTGTAAGGAGAAGCTTTTCTGATAGGTGTGTGCTGCAATCTCATCTGTGTCTTACAGCCGTAGCGCTGGTGCCCTGTGGGTAATACCTTGGAGGGGTCAGGGGGACAGGTCGGGAGGCTGTGGTCAGTGTTCCCCTTCAGCCACTCCCTGCCCCACAGCCCGCTTCCCTTCCAAGACCAGCCCAACTCCAGTGTCCCTCTCTTGGCCCACATTCCCTGCTAGCCTTCCAGGAGTTTTCTGCTGTGAGTTTCTCCATAGATACATGCACCACCAGTTAAGTGATGAGTGGTTATATACTGTGCTTAACAACTAGGGAAATATCTTAGCTCTTTTCCACTGTGATCTGCAGGGAAGTGGGTTGTACCTCTCTGACAGGTTAAGTCCACCAGCTGTTCCATGGGGCAGGGATGGGCAGTCTTCTATGTGATTTGCAGGCTCTGAAAACCTGTTGGAGGGTCCACTGTGGGTCAGTTCAGACTGGATGGTGATGCGTCAGTAATACAGTCAGTTTTATTTTATTTTAATGAAAGTTTACAAAGAGGTTGTTTTCATTCATCCATGCACATTTTCTCCTCTCCCGCTCCCTCAGTTCCCTTGGCAATGCTTGTTCTGTTCCAGGCTATTAATTGTTCTACACGTAGCTTCTAACAGTCCATTCCTTTCAGATTGACTGTCCTGGGACCCATTCCAGTCCAGTGGTCTTGCTCTAGCCATTCTTATCCTGCTCTTTCCCCTCCCCTGTTTTGATCCTGTTGTTAAGATAGTGATCTTGTGCGGTATTTGTCCCGTTGTTACTGAGATATTACATTCAGCATTGTGTTCTCCATACTCCTCCACTTGTTTTACAAGCTCACTGTTTTCTCTGTGCTCTGTAATACTCATTGTGTGACTGTACCATGGCGTCTCTGTCCATTCATTTGTTACTGAGTTTTCCTCTGCTTTCGGCTGCTTTCCTCTTTGCTGCTGTGTATAGTGCTGCCATGAACACAGGTGTGCATCTAGCCAGTTTGAGGACACTGAACTGGTAGACCAGCTAGTGAGAAGCTTTCTCCAGGGATCTCTGGTGTGTGGTTCCATGCCTGCTGTGGTCTTTGAGAGCTGCCCCAGCTTCTGTCTGAACTCTGCTCGGTTGGCTGCCCGTCTCCGGAGGCCTGTGGCGGTACACGTGGCTCTTTGTGTTTCCAGGCACTCTGGACTGATGGCTGAGCTGTGCTGTCCCGTGAGCCCTGACCACCCCCTCCGGCCACCCCTCACGTGAAGGTGACAGCTCTGAAGAACATGGTCGTGGGAGGTTGCACATGCGCGCCCTTTCTGCCCTGCCCGCACTCAAGCCAAGCTGGTCCGCTCACAGGTCCATTTTCTGCGTTTTCTATGAGGTCTTCCGTTGCTGGTCTGTCTGCTGCTGGGGCTGCAGGCGGCTGCTGCTTGGACACAGATGGAGGACGTGCTCCCTCTCCAGAGGGTGTTTGATGAGTGGTGAGCCCAGAATAAAGGTTTCTGATCAACTCCAATGTAGTGTGCTTTCTCATCTTGCTTTTATTGTTGTCCTGGTGACTGGAAGGCCAGCATGGCTGCCCTTAGACCTTCCTGGTCTCCCCTGGCGGCCATTCTAAAACTCAGTCACTTTATTTCCAGCGGGTCACCAGGTGGTGCCACCAGATGTCCTCAAATTCCTCTTCAAGTCTGGAGAAGTTTCAAATGTGATCGCAGATCTAAAACCGATTTAAATTGTGATATTTGAAGGAGAATGGAAGTAACCCAGGAAAGAGTGGACCTGTTGGTTACAGGGTTAAAGAACACAGCCACACGTGGGGGGTGGCAGCTCTGAAATAGTACTGGATTGTGGACCACTTTGAAAGCCCGTGGACCTTTTCTCTACATAAATGAGTAGATGCTCATTTCTGCAATTTTTAAAAGAATAACTTTAGACTTACAGAAGATAGCATAAAGAATTTCTGTATACCCCTCACTCAATACCTGCATTGAAAATATCTTACGTTACCCATAATATGTTGCTTAAAACTAAGAGGCTTCGCTGCAATCCCAAAGGCGCATGGTTCTAATCCACCAGATACTCTGCTGGAGGAGAGGCAATCTTCTGTGCCAGGCGATCTGATTTGATGGCACACAACAAAGATAAAAAAACCAAACCCCCAAAAACCCTAAGAGGCTAATACCTGTTTATTACTATTAACTATGATATGTTGATGATATTAAGCTTTAGTCCATATTGAAGACTATAGTCCTTGACCTTTCACAGAAAACATTTTAGGTCCTCCTCAGTTTGAGCAAGCAAAAGTTGTACCATCTGCAAAAGCAGGTTGTGAATGAGTCTTCCTCTAATCCTGATGCCATGCTCCTCCTAGTATAGTCCAGCCTTCCGAATGATCTATTCCACTTACAGATTGACAATGTTTGGAGACAAAGATTCTCAGCACTGGGCCACTTGGCAGCACCAGGATGGATGGAGAAGAGATTGAGGTTGTTAACAATTTTAGCTTGCTCAGCTCCAGAGTCAACACTTGGCACCAGTAGTCAGAAAACCAAAAGATGAATTGCATTGGGGAAGTCTGTCAGAGAGCTCTCCTGTTTGAAGGGTAGAGGTAGAGACAGTGCAGGAGAGGAAGACCTTGGATGAAATGGGTTGACACAGCGACCAGGGCAAATGGGATTAGGTATGTCAGAGGCAGCAAGACTGGCTCCAGATAGGGTAGGGTTCAGAGTTGTTGTACACAGGGTTGCTGTGAGCTGCAGGCAGCTTGATGGCACCTAACAGCAATAATAACAAGATCCTCAAATAGGGTTTAGAAGAAGATGAAAGGAATATCACACTGTTGTCAGATGGATCTTAGCTGAGAGCAGAGTATCAGATGAGTACAGTCAGTTGGGGAATTGTCATCAAATATGGACAACAGTGCCATGAGTAGGGATTTATCCAGAACACTTACGTTGTGCTTATGGGGACCGTATACACAGACCCAGAAACAGTTGCACCAGCAGAACCAGGGGATACGGTGGTATTAAGTCAGGAAAGGTGGGCTTTGGGGTTTTATCCTTTCCCTATACCTGTTTGACCTGTATGCTGAACGAACAATGCTGGGGGCTGACCCATGTGTGTGGAAGGAACCTGGAATCCAGGTTGAAAGATGACTAACAGCCTGTGATGTGCAGATTGCAATCTGAAGCACTTACTGATAGATCAATGATGGAATCCTCACCACAGTGTACACAGAAACCTTCACAACTGGATCAGTCAGCATCGAGAGAAACGGAGAGAAGATTGGTGCTGTGAATACTCTCATTTTACTTGGATCTGCAACATTCATGAAAGCAGCCACCAAGAAATGACACATCAGATGGGGCAGACCTTCTGTGTAAGACAGGGACAAGGATGTCACAGTGTGTGTCGAGCGGCCCCTGACTCAAGCTGTAGACTAATACAGGTGTACTTCCCCCTCCCCTTCTACTCAAGGGTTTTTTTTAAAAAACAAACAATTGGAGAAGACAGGTCACTGAGAAAGGGAGATACTGCCGCCTCTCCCTCCACGCTCACCTCAGTGACTGAGTTAGTTGCTTTTCTGAATTTTTCTCTTGTACCCCTTAAGTGGGCTATATTAGCTATTTCTAAAATCCCTTCCCTAGGCTGTATTTTTCTTTTGGGACCTGCTTGATTTTCCCCAGCATTGTTAATCCTCTGGAGTGGACAGCTCTGTGGGTTTTGATGAGTCTGTGCGGTCACTATCTCAGCAGGAAGTCCTCATCCCTGCCACCATCCCTGGACCATGGCAACCAGTTACCTGCCTTCCCTTGTGGTCGTGCCATCTCCAGGGTGTCACGCTGTGGAACTGTGTGAGACAGGTTCTTGAACTTGACATTAGCGTTTGAATTCCAGAGACATTGTTTTATATTTTTGCAAAGCTCTGGCTTAATAGGACATGCTGGATGCTGTTAGCTGTTGCAGTTTGAATTAAGACACACTAGGAAGAAGGATTGGTCATCCATTTTGGAGATGACGGGTGAAAACCCTATGTACAATAGAGCACACTTAGAGAAGACTAGCAGATAGGGCAATAAGGTTGGCTCAGGATAGAGCAGGGTTCAGAGCTGTTGTACAAGCAACTTGACAGCACACAACAACAATAATGTACAGCAAGCTTGGTGTCTCACATAGATGTGTAACTGGAGGAAGAAAGCCATCACTGACCTGAAAACATGTCAGGGTCCACGCAATCCCGTGGACCAGACTTGGACAATGGCTACTTGGATCCACAATCAACACTGATTAAAGCAGCAATCAAGAAATCAAAAGATATGATGCATTGGTGAAATCTACTGTCAAAGACCTCTTTAAAGGACTGAAGGACAAGAATGTCAGTTAAAAACTGGAGTGCCTGCTTCCAGCCATAGTATTTCCACTCGCTGCATGGGCATTGGGAGGTTGGACGATGGAGAAGGTAGACAGAAGAAAAAGCCATGCCTTGAATTGTGTCTGTGGAGAATATTGACTATCCCGCAGATTGCCAAAAGAACAAACACATAAGCCCTGGAGAAAGTGTGGCCATGTTGTTGTTGGTAAGTGCTGTCGAGTCACAGGTGACTCATAGTGACCCTATGAAGGAGAGTCCTGGACGCTTGGGTGCCTTTCATCCTCTCTCCAGGTTCATAGGGTTTCCGGAGGCAAGCTATTATGGAAGTGGATGCCATTCCTCCTTCCACGCTTGTTTAATCGGGGAGCTCCATCCCACTCTCAGTCCACATTGGGTAGCCAACCATTAACGCATTTGACACATCCGTGTCACAATGTTCAGCCTCACAGCAACCACAAGTGACCGTGGGACGGCAACTTGTACACCAGGGCTATACGACCTAGAGGAATGTCTGAACAAAAACAATGAAAGACTGGCCGGAGGGCCACAAACTAAAAGTCACCCACCTTTGTCTTGGTCACATCGTTTTCACTTCACTGGGCCAGCTGATCTCTCTCTCTCTCTCTGTTGATGTTATTGTTGTTAAGCACCTCTCTCCAGAGACTGCCACAACACAACTCCCACGTACACAGCAGCGTGCTCTCTGGCCAAAGGATCACAGCCACCCTGGGTGGGACAAACCTGGGCGATTACGGCCATCTAGTGTTCCTAAAAGGCAGGGGTGGTGACACTGCATTTTTGGACATGTTGTCTGGAAGGGCTAGTCTATGCTGGGAAAGGTGAGAGGTCACAAAAAACAAGACCCTCAAGGAGATGGACTGATGGAGGGGCTGCAGCCATGGGCTTGAGCGTGACCGAGATCATGATTGGTTCAGGATGGGGCACAGCTCAGCTCTGTTGTCCGTAGGGTCACTGTGTGTCATGGTTGATGCATCAGGCCCTCATGACAGCTGCAGGGTCTTGCTCCTTGAATCATATTCAGGTGCCAGCAGCACCAGCCCTGCCTGGCACGTGTTAGAACAGGGCTCCTAGATCTTTACACCAGAGTCTAGAGTTTCATTGATTCTCATGTGGTTTCTGTGCTCATGAAATTTGTTGCCCCCCTTTGGATTTCCATGCATTCATTGTTGCATTTTCCTCCCTACCCAACCCTCCCACACAATTCACTCTTCTCTTGGAAAAGTAAAAGAAAAATTCCTTCATTGTTATACAATCCCTCACCCCAGGTCCACTCCACTATACAGCCTTCGCTCAGGACTCCTGTCATGACAATAATATCTAATCACATATCCCTTTTAAACCGTTTTCTCTCTCATCTGTTTCAATGCAGTATACATTATTTATCCCATCTTTCTCAGTCTCCCTCCAACTCCAATGTCAGACCTGTTTTACAACAGTGGCACTATGCAGTATTTTTCCTTTTGTGACTGAGATATTTCACTCAGCATAATGTCCTCCAGGGTCACCCATTTTGTATAATGTTTCATGAGTTCCTTATTTTTCAGTGCAGCGTAGTATTCCATTGTGTGAATATACCAGAGCTTCTCTATCCATTCGTTTGTTGATGGGCACTTAGGTTGTTTCCAACTCTTAGCTATTGTGAACAAAGCCGTGATAAACATGGGTGTGCATATATCTGCTTGGATGTCAGTTATGGTTTCTTTGGGGTGTATTCCCAGTAGTGGAATTGCTGGGCCAAATGGTATCTCTATTTGCAACTTTTTGAGAAAGCGTCACACCTCCTTCCACAGTGGTTGCACCACTTTACACTT